GGCGTCCTGCTAACTTCTCAACCCAGGAAGATCTGACTTTTGCCCTCACCGCACTCCACTGAGATCCTTCTCTGCAGGTCCTTGGTCTTTATCTTCCTTAAACTCTCAGCACCGACTAAGTATGTGGACAGCTTCTCCTACTTGAAGGATGCTCATCCCTTGTCCTCTGGGATATCATGCTCTCCTTATCTTCCTCCTACCTCTTGTTTAGTTTGCTAGGGCTGCCATGACAAGCACCACAGGTGGGGTGGCTTAAACAACTCCTCCTCTCACAGTTCTGGAGGCTGGAAGCCCACAGTCAAAGTGCCAGCATGGTTAGTTTTTGCTGAGGCCTCTCTCCTTAGCTTGCAGATGACTATCTTCCTGTTCACATAGAATTCTCCCTCGATACTTGTCTGTGTCTCAATTTCTTCTTTTTTTTAAAAAAATATTTTTATTGATTTTTAGAGAGGAAGGGAGAAGGATAGACAGATAGAAACATCAATGATGAGAGAATCATTGATCAGCTGCCTCCTGCATACCCCCTACTGGGGATTGAGCATGTGCCCTTGGCTGGAATTGAATCTTGGACTTTCTGTCCGCAGGCCAACACTCTATCCACTGAGCCAAACCAGCTAGGGCTAAATTCCTTCTTCTTATAAGGACACTGGTCATATTGGATTAGGACCCACCCTAATGACCTAATTTTACCTTAATTACCTCTTTAAAGATCCTACCTCCAATACAGTCACATTCTGGGGAATTAAGATTTCAACATATGAATTTGGGGTGACATGATTCAGCCAATAACACTTTTCTTGGGGCTGCACTTCTTAGCGGCAGATGACTATCTTCCTGTTCACATAGAATTCTCCCTTGATGCTTGTCTGTGTCCAAATTTCTTCTTCTTATAAGGACACCGGTCATATTGGATTAGGACCCACCCTAATGACCTCATTTTATCTTAATTACCTCTTTAAAGATCCTACCTCTAATACAGTCACATTCTGGGGAATTAAGACTTCAACACATGAATTTGGGGTGACAGGATTCAGCCATTAACACTTTTCTTGGGCTGCACTTCTTAGCAAAACATCAATGATGAAGGAGAATCATTGATCAGCTGCCTCCTGCATACCCCCTACTGGGGATTGAGCATGTGCCCTTGGCTGGAATTGAATCTTGGACTTTCTCGCAGGCCAATCACATAGAATTCTCCCTTGATGCTTGTCTGTGTCCAAATTTCTTCTTCTTATAAGGACACCGGTCATATTGGATTAGGACCCACCCTAATGACCTCATTTTATCTTAATTACCTCTTTAAAGATCCTACCTCTAATACAGTCACATTCTGGGGAATTAAGACTTCAACACATGAATTTGGGGTGACAGGATTCAGCCATTAACACTTTTCTTGGGCTGCACTTCTTAGCAGCCTCCTGTCTCTCTGTCCAGGCCTCAGAGATGGGGACTCCTCAAGGTAACATCCCAGATCTTCCTCTTCTCACCTCACATACTACCCTGGGTGGTTGCGCTGGCCGTCTAGCTCCAGGTGCTGTCAATAAATAGACAACATGCCAGTCTGCATATCCAATCTCGAACTGCCTCCTGAGTTCCAGACAAGCACTCATTCATTGTCTCGATATCTCAACTTTTTATCTTGCAGGAACCTCTATTAACTTGTAAAACAGAGTGCATTACCTCCTCTGCACATTTGTTCTTCCCTCTCTGTTCCTTAGCACCAAGAAATGGCACCACTATCCACGTCCTCAGCTGCCCGAGCGGGGAACTTGGGGCCATCTTTGACTCCTCCTCTTCCCCACAGCCAATCACCAAGAGCGGAGCAGTGGTGATGTCTTCACTTCTCTCCATCCCCATCCCATGACCTGGCCCAGCCCCCATGTCCCCTCACCTGGGCTGCCTCAGTGGCCTCTTCCCTGGGCTCCACGCTCCACTCCACTCTGTTGCCAGATGAATCCACTTCCCCACTGAAAGCCTCTGATGGCTCCCAGCTGTCCTTGGCCCTGCAGCAGCTGGCCCCCTTCCACCTCCAGCGTCTTGCCCCCTGTTCTCTAACAACTGAGCTCCTGGCAGCTCAACCCTGGATGGAGGGGAGCGAGGGCCCTGCTTACTGTCCCTCCCTCTGCCAGACTCACCTGGGCAGAGGAGAACCAGCTCAGGTGGCAGGGGTCCGCCCCCTTCCCTCATTGCCTCGCTGAATTGCATGGGCTCTTCAAGGGGGTGTCGTCTGCCTATGCCTGTTTGCCCATTTGTCTACCTTCTCTTTCCTCTTTTCCCCTTCCTTCTCTCCATCCTCCCATAAGGCCCAGGGAACTGGGGGGAGCCCAGATTTTTGCTCCTTGTGGGGAAGGAGCCAGACTCAGATCTTAGACAAGGCTGCCAGCAGCTAGTGCACCTCAGAGTGGGGCATGGAGAGGGAACACTTCTCGGCTACGGCCCAGAGAGTCACCTGGAAGCATGGGCATGTGGGGCAGGATGGGGGGGAGGGGGGCCTTGTGGGGAGTGGCTGAGAGGTTCCTGTTTGGCAGGCTAGCCAGTGACATGGGGATGGGTGAGATGGCAGGAGCGGCAGCAGCTCTGGGGACTGGGGGAAGCTGATTCTGAAATTAAGGCGAGGCTCCCCAGCGCCTTGGGAAAGGGTCACTCATCACTGCCCTCATCCCCTAGCATTCGGACTCTCCTTCTAACCACGGCCTGAGTGGGAGGAGGGAGGCCCCAGGGGCCAGCAGGTGGAAGCCACATTCCTGGAGTGTTAATGATCTCTGGGCAGGGCAGGAGCTGAGACCCCAGACCAGCTAAAAACAACAAACAGCTCCCAGGAGGGATTTGTGTCTGTCCCGAGAGTCAAGGATTTCCGACACCCGGATGGGGGTTGTGGCCAGTGGGGCTCTTAGCAAAGAAATTCCCCAGAGACCAGAAGCCCCCTGACCCAGGAGTATCACTTTGGATCAGACCCTTCCCCCATCCCTTTCCCTCCTCCACCCTCCTAGGGAGGCCCAGCACCCCTGACACTGGGGAGGTGAGAGGAGAGTCCAGGTGAGTTCCTCACCTAGTCCCTCTAACCTCTGTCCACCAGTCCAGAGAACGATGCTGTTTCTGGCATTTTATCGCTAAGGACACCACGGCTCTAAGAGAGAATATGCTCCACACACATCTGACCCAAGGAATGGGTGAATGAGTGATGCCGGGGCCAAGCTGGGGCCGGGATCCGGGCTGGCCCGACCCCAACCATAAACCCTACCTCTACTGCATGGTCACCCTGCAGGAGTGGAAGATGCTTGGAGGTCCCAGAGCTGTCAGGAGGCAGCCAAGGCCTGGCCCTGAGGGACTGTGGAGGAGTTAGAAGGGGCAGAGTTCCCAGGGCTGGTGCTAGACACACTGTGGACATCAGGTACCTTTCCACTTGGCTCAAACCTTTCCACCCTGTGTAGCCTCTCTTGGCCCCCAGGCAGCGCAGAATGACCCCCCGCCCCCACCACTCTCCCTTCTAGTCCCCTTGACCCCCCAGGCAGCGCAGAATGACCCCCCGCCCCCACCACCACCACCACTCTCCCTTCTAGTCCCCTTGATATAAACAGTAGGAGAATCTACCGAAATCCCTTTTCTACTCTAGTTCCTTGCAGTGGGGCCCTTAGTAAGTGCCCAGCAACCGCTCTGCAAAGGGGCTTCCTTCTGCAGAGTTTCAATTCATCCCCGTTGTCCAGCTTCCTGCCCGCACACGCTCTTCTGTCCTTCCCTCTACCCTTCCCTCTGACCCCTCCTGAGCCTGGGTGGCCTTCCTATAAAATCCTGGCCTAGCCGTTGGCTTGTTCCCACTGTGTTTCCCTGCTCCCACCTCTCCACCCATAATTCACAAAGCCAAGCCTTGATGCTTTAAATCCATCATTTATTGCCCACAGTTCATTAGTAGTACACAAATCACAGAGATTGAGAAATTTTCTGAGAAGGTTAAAAAGACACTGCAAAGTAACCTGGGTGTGACCGAGGCCCAGGGCTGGGAAACCACCTTGCTTCTGTCCGCGGGCCTGTTTCCTCTCAGAACCCCACCCTTCTGCCAGGGTAGAGGCCCAGGACAGGAAACAGCCCCCCCTCCCCACCTCCTCCCCAATCAGGAGGTGGGACGGGATGCTGGCCATCCTGACTCGGCAGCCATCCTGGCATCTTGGGCTTTTGGTCCCTGCACATGCGCACTGTTCTCTGGAAACGGGAGAGGGGCATCCCAAGCCTTCAGGAATGTTTGAAGTGACCAGAGGAGGGCCAGGCAGAGATACCAGAGCTGGAGAATCGGCTGCAGGTGTGGCCTGGATTCTGGCACCGCTGGGCCAGCCCTGCCCTGACTCAGCCTCCTCCCCAGACATGAAACCATCTTCCCAGGAGGCCTCCCTTCCTCTGGCCTCAGCTGAGAGGGGCTGGGTGTGAACTGAAAGTTTCCCCTCGTGGTGTTTTCTGCAGCCAGACCAGGGCCTAGCAGCACGGCTCGCTGAATCTCTGACACTGTCACCCTGAGCTATAAGGATCCTTCGCTGCCACCACCCCTACCAGGAGGAGCCCCCTGAAGTCACCTGAAACTGCATTTGGGAGCATCACCGGAAATCATCTGGGAGATACAGTAAATAGGTTATGAGATGCAGGGGCCACAGGGCTGGGCCGGGGCAGCCAGCCCAGAGGGGAGATGGAGAGATCCCATCTCTGCCAGGCCTCTGGAGGGGGTAGGGGGGTGAAGAGCTGGGGGGAGCAGTTTTGGTCCCAAGGTAAAGTGCACAAGAATAAGACCCAATAAGCCCTGGCCGGTTTGGCTCCATGGATAGAGCGTCGGCCTGCGGACTGAAGGGTCCCAGGTTCGATTCCGGTCAAGGGCACATGCCCAGGTTGTGGGCTCAATCCCCAGTGGGGGGCATGCAGGAGGCAGCCAATCAATGATTCTCTCTCATCATTGATATTTCTATCTCTCTCTCCCTCTTCCTTCCTCTCTGAAATTAATTAAAAATATATATTTTTTTAAAAAGACCCAATAAGAGGTGAGGTGGGGTGAGTTTGCAAAAGAGGCCCCAGACGTGCCCAGGCCCCAGTCGCTGGCACGTTCACATTATGGCGGGAGTAACGCAAAAATACCTGACCCTCCAACACCGAGGCAGCCCTTCCCTCTGCTGCTCTGTCTTCCATGCGTGTCGCTGCCTCTCCCCTTCCTGACGGGCAGTGGGTGGGCTGCTCCTTGGGAGAGTGGGGGCCCTCAGGGCTGCACCCTGCAGAGCTGGCTGGGAGGCTCCAGGGCCCGGCTGGGAGGTGAGGGCAGCAGGGGCTTCTGGTGGGAGGTCTGGTGCCAATGCCTGTAGAAGACCCACCTCGCCACAACTCCCCCCGCCCCAAGGGGAGCAGAGCCTGTGGCCAGGCCTCCGCTGCCCCGCACCGCCTTTCCCTGCACGTACCTGTCCACCTCCAGCCGCATCTCTCCCCAGGTGGAGTCAGGTACCAGGGGAGGGGAGGCCCTGAGGCTGCATGTTGAAGGCTCATTCCAGTTGTGACCAGGTGAGAGATACCTTGAGACCCATGCGTCCTCTTTTTGGGGCCTTTCAGACGAGAGATTACCCTGTTCACCCCACCCAGGCCCTGATTTCCTCTGCAGAGCTCTCCCCTTTCCTGCCCTGAACTGGAAGGGAGGCGGCAGCCAGCAGCCAGCAGCCAGCAGCCAGGGGCCTCAGAGGCCAGTGCAGGGTGAGAGGCGGCATGTAGGTGTGGCTCCCCACTCCAGCCCAGGCATCCATACTACCTCCTCCTTCACAACTGTAAAGTGTTTGGCAAAGGCCCAGTGCTCCCAGGAGGTGGGGTCACATACAGAACAGCAGAGTCCGGGTCCTGAGGCCAACTGCTGGCCATGCCCACAGGGACCAGCCCCTTTCCCAGTCCAGTGTCCGTGTTGGGATGACCAGCATCTGAGCGGGACAGGCAAAGACGGGATCTAGCTGGAGGAGCAGGCGGGAATCCCTTGATCCAGTCCTCGGGTTCCAGACATGGGGGTGGAGGCTCAGAGAAGGAAGTGGGCTTGTCCAAGGTTACGCCGCTGGCCAGAGCCAGCGCCTGCTTTGATTCTCGGGTTGATGCTTCCTCTCCGATAGGTGCCTAGAGATCTGGCCTTTGTACTCTCAGGCACGGGGCCCTCCTGCTCAGTGGCCGTCGGCCTGGCTCCAGCCCCACACTCGGCCCCAATGCCCAGCTTCCAGCCTGGTGCCGGGGAGGAAGATCTTCCTGCAAAGGCCGGGCTGCATGCCCCCGGCTCCTGCCCAACATCATTCCTTCTTGGGGCTTCCTGCCTGGAGCTGGGGTCATCCCAGGGGCCTCCCATATATCAGGGCTCCATGAAGGGTGATGCCAGCTCGTGTGTCACTGGGCTTCGTGTAGAGGAATCGGTTCTGCAGGTGTGGCCTGGATCTTGAAGGCCAGCCACACTCAGAGCCAGCTGCCCATGGAACCTTCCAGAGACTTCCAGTGCTCCTTGATTTCCTGGGCCACCTCCTGAGGACCTTAATCATAGCTGGCTCATCCGGCGAGGGGTAGACTACCTCCCCTCCCTTCCCTACCCCTGAACACCCAGGGAGACGTCGGTCTTGGCCACAGCAATATCTTAAATCTACCAGCCCCACCACCAAGCCAGCCAGCTCGCTGCAGGCCTACCCCTACTCCCACCACCAGACCACCATCTGGGCAGCTGCAACCAAGGCTTGATTCTGATAAAAAATAAAAATAAAAAGTATAAAAGGATCCTAATTCTACCCTGTGGGCACTCTACAACTTTTCAGCTTCACACATAATTGTGCTGAGTAGAGTTTTGGCAACCCCACGTAAGGCCCAGGAATGCACTTGATTATTTGTATAGGAAATGTGTCAGAATTCCTCTCCCTTATGTTAACAGGTGAATAGATTAGTCTCCCTACCACTGTGGATGGAGACCCCCCCGCCCCCAGGTGGCCCAGGACTGGTGGGGCCAGCTTGCCCTCCCTGCAGGCGCTACTCATGAGACCTCTTCCCCGCCCCCAGCTCCCCAGGCTGGACCAGGCTGCATCCCCAGGCCAGCCGGCCACCACTCACAGCCCCTTGTTGTACACCACTGTCCGGCTGCTGGTGGCCCGGGCAATCTCAGGCTCTAACTGGGATGTTTCGATCTGAGGAGAGAGAACAGAGGGAGGAAAGGTGAGGGGGATGAGAGGGGAGGGGTGAGTGGGGAGGCTGGGAGTAGCAGTTAGGACTGCTCTGGAGCCCACAGTTGCCCCTGGCACCCCATCTTTAATTTTTTCTGCCCTCCTGCCAAGGGGCTCACAGTATCCCTTCCTGCCCAGGCCTCTTCCTCGGCCCGTGTGTCCATGCAGGTGAGCATCCTATGCTCTGGCCTCTGAGTTCTGTACTTCCCTCCAATACCTTGTCCACTGTGCTGCACAAATCCCTTCCCAGGGCCACACCCTGGGCCTGGTCACCAACCAGGGCTGCTCTACCCAAACTCCTTAAATCCAAACCCTACTCTCTCAGACCCCAATCATTCCAGCACCCCACTCACTCTCCCTGTCTGTTTTCTCTTAATATATATTTTTATTGATTTCAGAGAGGAAGGGAGAGGGAGAGAGAGAGAAAAACATCAATGATGAGAGAGAATCATTGATCGGCTGCCTCCTGCACACCCCTACCGGGGATTGAGCCCGCAACCCGGGCATGTGCCCTAACCGGGAATCGAACCATGACCTCCTGATCATAGGCCGATGCTTACCCCTGAACCAGGCCAGCCAGGCTCCCTGTCTGTTTTTAGACCACCGAGACCCCAGGGCCCAGCTTCCCATTCTCCTCCTCTAACCTGGACGTGAAGGGCTATCACTTCAGCCCCAGGTCCTTCCAGCCCTGACTGGCTTTGGAGAAAACCCATCATGCAGTCTCCTTGTCTCCACTTGAACCTGACCACTAATGTAGACATTCAACATTCAGGGTCCATGACTTTGGCTGGATCCTCACAGTAGCCAGGAACACCCTCACCCCCTGGCCACATCGCCAGTCACCTCGCTCTCCCATTCTCCACAGGCGTCTCCTCATCCTCAGCTCCCCCCTCACCCTGAGCAGATGAGCCTTCTCACTGCCTCAGGGAAAACAATAGAAGGCGTCAGAAGGAACCCATCCATGTCCCATCTCCCATCGTAAACTCACGGCCTACTGTGTCCACACTCTGCTCCACACCTGCCCTCCTGCTACCCCACCCGTCCCCTCAGAGGTGTTCCCATAAGCCCAGCTCCCCCGTCCACTCCAGGAGCCCACTCCTGGGTTGTCCTCCCTCTTCCCCACCTTTTCTCTTGCTGACTCCTGCCCTCCAGCATTTCCACACAGACAAGCACCTTCTGTCTAAGAAAGACCTCCCCTCAACCCCACGTCACACTGTGTAGCTTCTGCCTGGTGTCTCTCCTCCCCAGCAACCACATTCCTTTAAGGCACTATCTACAGCCGTAGCCACCTCCACCTCCTCACCTCCCACTGCCTTTTCAACCCACAGGAAATCTGGCTTCCGTTCCCACCACGTTCCACAAAAAAATCTTTCTCTCCAAGGTCACTGCTAACCCCCCTTTTTTGTGTGTGACATCCACTGGACACTTTTCAGGGTCCCTGGCTGGGCTCTCTTCCCTGATCATACAGCCTTCCCTGCGACTCCCAGATTTGAGGAGTCTCCAGCCACATTTCCCCCCTGAGTCTTGGGTCCACAACGGACTGCTTACTGAACATCCCTGTGATGTCTCCTAGGCACCTTAACGGAACCTATCTAAAATGGAACTGAATCCACCCCCTGCCCCAATCCAGCCCACCATGCTGCCACCTAATGGTGCTCTGGCCAGAGACCCTGGGGCCCAGGCACAGGGTGCCACAGACCAGCGCTGGATGCAAAGAACTCAGTGGAACACAGGCTGCGCATGTCAGAGGCCAGACAAGAGGGGGCTTGATGTGGACTAGGGTTGTGGGCATAGCAGAGTTTCTGGAGAAGGGGGACCCTTCCCCTGTAGTCCCTGGTACCCCAATACCCAGGCTCTGGCCATTTGAGAGGGCCAAAGAGACAAGAGCTAGGCTCAAGGCCTGGGCCTCTTCCCCACCCCCTCGCCTCAAACCACCTCCCCCGTCCCCACCCCTGCTGGCCTCTGAGTTCCCTCCACTCCACCCGCTCGCCTCGTCCCCACGCTGACACTGACACAATGCACAGCGCCCACGCTTAAAAATCTAAATGCTTTTGAAAATGTTTAACCTAGTTAGACAAATTAGCAAAAATTTGTGCAAAACAATTTAGGTATTTAAAATATTCAATGTTTTTAAAAAACTGGAAAACTGTTCTTAGCTTTCAGCTGCAAAAACCAACAAAATATAACATCCCAGCAATCTTACCATGAGGTGTAACATAACCCTTCGGGAAAGCTGTTAAACAGCTACTGAGGCATCCTGGGAAATAGCACTTCATTTATTCAAATGCACATATGTCAGGCTTTTGCACCATATGTCATTCCAAGCTATTTACAGTAATAATTAAATCTTAATCAACGTTTAACCTCTGTAAAATGTTTGAAGAATCCTAATCACCCTTCAGACTGCACTAATGAAGGAGAAATATATAAACATAAAAGGAAAATGATGCATAGATATCACGCTGGAAAGAACAGTAATTGCAAAATTGTATTTCTTTTAAATATAATCAGTAAATGATGTAAAGTAAGCCAAGGAGTATTTTAAGTTAAGACATCTTGGATGTCAGAGGTGTGAGCAGCTAATTTTGTTCTGCTACCCATAACAGATGTAGCATATTTTATTTTAGTGCCATTATTAGCAACTTCCCATGCCGGCTTTCACTGAAGCACCAAGGCCCGCATGAAAATCGGAGGGAGAGGCTGCTGCTCACCACCACAGTGGAGGGCCATGGGCCAGGGCCACGGCCACTCGGCTCACTCCCTGGAGAGGGCTGGCCCCGTGACCCTCCCAGTGGAGGCTGTCACAGACCCAGGACCCCCGGGCTCCCCCAGGCTCCCCCCTGTGCTGAGGGCAGCTGGTGGGAGGGACGCAGGGGCGAGAAGCAGGCAGTGGGAAGGTCCTGGGGGGAGGTGACTGGGGCACCCAGGAGCAGGGGCTTGGGGACAGAGCTGGCATGCAAGGCTCTTTCTCTCATTTCAACTCCATCAGCCTTCAAGCCAGCAGATGTGTCTGGCTGCCAACTCCATCCACCAAGGCTGGGCACACAGAGATGGAGAAGATCAGCCCATGCCCTTGAGGAGCTCCAAGTCTAGGGGAGGAGCAGATAGGAAAGCAGATGGATCCCAGAGAGAAAAGTGCCATGGAAACTGGGGAGGGGGCGGAGTCAGCACGTACTAGTGAAAGAACGGGGAAGGAGGACTTCCCAGAGGAGGTGGGCCAGGAGGGGAGGGGAGGATTTCCACGAGAGGGCAAGAAAAACTTGCTGGGGGAAGGAAAAGCACTCACGGGCCAGCACGGCCTGCTGGCTGTGGGCAGTGTTGGGCACGTGGGGTGTGTGGCAAGAAACGGAGGTGGGGCTGGGACAGGCAGGCACTCGAAGCCCAGGCCCAGGCAGAGGTGTCAGCATTTCATCTGAAGGCAACAAGGCAGCGGGGAAGAGTCTGGGCAGGGGTGGGCTCCCCTTTAGAAAGGTCTCCCTGGTGGCGGAGGGTGTGGGGGATGGACCGGAGGAGTGGGCGGCAGCTGTGGGAATCCGAGAGAGGGGCCAGGCCCTGCCCTAAGATGCTGCCACGGTGGCTGAGAGAAGAGCGCCCGCGGGGATCCTTTCCGAAGATGAAACCCATAGGAGTTGATGACCAATCCCATGTGGGGGTAAGAGGGAGGTGTCGAGAATGACTGTGCGTTGGATGATTCCTAATTCTAACTCAGGAGCTGGGTGGCTGGCTGTGCTGTTCTCAGAGGCAGGGAACACGGGAGGGGGGAGGGGGAGGGGTCAGGGTGGGAGGTGATGGGCTCAGGTTCAGCCACGATGAGCCTCCCAGCCAGAGAGGCCCGAGAAGCAGGCAGGTCCCAGGCTCTGGGGCTCTGGCCAGGGGTCTGGGCAGGAGGACGAGCCGGGATGTGAGCACAGCCGGAGCCCCCGGAGTGGAGGAGCTTGCCCAGGAGAGCAGATGGCAGGGGAGGGTGCCAGGCCTGGGGAACAGGCACATTTGAGGGGCGGGCATACGGAACAAGCCCGTGATGGCGGCCTGAGGGGACCAGCCCAAGGAGTGGAAGCAACGGCAGAGGGTGCCACAGACACCAGGCTGAGAGGCTGTGGTCTTGGCACTGGGATTTGGTGACCCGCGGAGTCCAGATGTCCTAACCTTCACTCAGTGCTGACCCCAGGCACAGCCTCTCACTTCTGTCCTGGGCCAACTCCACTGGCCATTGGTGAAGACCCCTCCCGCTCTCTGGCCACAGTGGGGGGTTGGCTCAATGGCCCACCATCTTGAGGTCTCATGGGTCTGGACCACTAGGATTCCTCCGCGCTGGGCTAGCAAGGGAGGCTGGGGCAGGGACGCCTGGGCTGTACCCCCACTTGAAGATCACCTGCCTTGGGTATGGGGGGCTGTGTCCTCCATGAAAATCATACCCTCGGCCCTGCTAGTAAAAAAATGTGATTCAGGACCTGGGTGAGGGCAGTGGAGCGCCCTGCTGCTGCCCTACCCCCCTCCGGAGTCCCCGAGGCAGGGACAGAGAGTTGTGCTGTGCTCCTGGAGTCCCTGCCGTTTGGGGACTGGTGGGTAAGATTCGGAAGCCGGCTGTATGTGCCACGTCAGAAGTACAGTGAACAGCATGTGGCTACAGTGGCTCCCAGGCAGGTGTGGTGGGAGGGAGGTGCCAGGGCCCAGTGGGCACAGCAAGGTGAGGCCAGCAGCACCAGTAAAAGCTAGAGCCCCAGGACAGGGGCTTGGTTCTGACCACAGAAGAGCTCCGAGGGGCCACCTCTGGGAAGAGGGTGACAAGGAGAAAAGTGGCCACAGGGAGATCTAGTCCCAGGCTGCCAGGTGGGGGCAGGCAGGAACCCTAGGGCCCCTCTGTTCATCTGGTGGACTCCTCCCCAGGCACCTGATGGCCAGTCAGCAGGGGCCCTTGAGGGAAGGGGGTGCCTGGGATGGGGAGCCAGAGCCCTGGAGGGTGG